CCTAGTGCCAGTCCGGCTCATGGTTCCGGGTCGTGACAGGCTATCGAGCTTGATTTCGGTTAGTTGGCTCGTCAAACTCATAAACAGATGATGGATTTGAGCTCCTTATAAAATTTCCAGTCGGGTGGTGGAAGTCTTGCAAATTTTTGGGCAGGATCGACTCTCCGGCCACCCTGAACGGCGATGCTGGCAGAGGTCTGGTGATCGGCCGGCGAGTCTCCGGCGAGGCCTCAAGAGACAGAATCATCTTCTCCTCATGCAAATCGTGGAATCGTAGTCCGATTTTCGATTGGTATGCTCTAAGACTTAGTTCCTTATTTTTGGTATAAATTCCAAATTTAAAATTATTGGTTGATTATGTTGATTTCGAATAAATAGTTAATTGAAGGACTTTGAAATATTAGGTAGAATGTTGGATTTGTCATGTGGATTCCAAATATTCAATTAGAATTGCAACCTGACCTCGATTAATAATTAAATCGTTCATTAGCGCATATTTTGTGTATATACTTTTAAAATTGAAAATGTCCAGAACTCAGTTATCCTTGTATTGCCTAACTGACCTGTTACAAGGTAGCTAATAATCAGAAACTACGTAGAATTGTTTAGCTACTTAATTCTACATATGTGGAAACATAGTTAATAAACTAAGAATAGTTAATAAACTACGAAGTAATGCAAATTTGGTACATAGGCTTCCAAACCGAAAAATCGCTGAAATGGATGAAATAGCAGTTAGCATGACCTTAGAAAGACCTAGTCAATTAATTAGATAATTGTTAATTTAGTTAACTAGAATCGATTACTGTTGTGAGTTAAAGTTAAGGAAGTTTTAGTTCTATATAAATACAACCTTGAACCTTAATAATTCCAAGTATAAATTATAAACCTAAGAAAAAGCAACTATTGTTCTTCTTTGAAATACAATTTAATTGTTAGTAAAAGAATGTACTAAGCTGTAGTTCAAATATGGATGGGTTGAGCTATTCACTATAAAGGGAGAAAGAACTATTTGTGGTTTGTTTATCTTGATAATGTAATTATATAGCGTTTTGATAAACTAAGAATATGATGTTAGTTGGTATTAATTATGAATTGAATAAATGTTTAGATGAATGAATAATGGTTTTAGATGCAATTGAATAATGGGTTATGGCAGATCGAGATTTGTTGTTATGAATTGCTAATGATGGAGATTTGTAGAATTTATTATGTTGAAATTGTAGGTTTATAGTGGAATTGTTTAATCCATTTGTTAAAGGGTACGGTTCGCCAAAATTTTGACATAATCTAATAGTTTTACTTGTAAATAGGTTGTAGGATTTATTTAGGATAATCCTTATTAGTTATTTAGGAGAATGCTTTATTTAATTCTTTCCTTTCCCTTCCCATTTCATTTTTTCATTAGAATCACTCTAGTTTGGTTTCACTGATTCGAACAAGTTAGAATCGAAATTGAGTCTTTTCCCATCTAGTGGTAGTAATCATAATAATAGATAGTATTTACCATTTGCATCATACATAAATTCATTACTTTATACAGATTATTTATGTCTTTCTTTATTTATTTATTTTTCAAGTACCAGTTCATTACCAATTAATATTATGTTATTATTTAAATACTTTTAATTATTCATTTGAGTTGCGTATAGAATTGTGTATTGCGGCTCTTTTTGTGGCGCTCGTATTTGCCGTGTGCTTGCAATGCATGTTCATTGTTACATTGGTTTTGATTAGTTTGCTCGCTGTGAACATAATATTTATAGCCTTATTTTTGCAATGGAATTTAGGGTTAACAGTGGGTTATCTACCAATGGGTTTTATTAGAGCAAAATCTTTCTGTACTTTGTTAAGCCAGATTGTAGTAAAATGTGGAAGACTCGGATTGGCCCCCGTTGGGCATCTTGAATGATTTAGGCTTATATGGAAAACCACATTTGTGTGGCTCTTGTATGGTGGTGTTGGTATGGAAAGAAAAAAGAGTATAAAAAAAACTAGAGGGCTGGTCAAGTGAGGAATAGACCGATCGGCCATGTATGGGGGATTGGCTCCCTAGTGCACATGTCATGAGAGGATGTGTGAGGGTGAGCCATGTGTGAGGACGGCTCATCGGTGGTTTCGGTTACACCACTAACCAATTTCCACTTGTTTGACTATTTATAGGTGTAATTACATGTGGTTGCTGATGTTGTTCCATATGCTTGACTGGTCTTGTGTTCATTTTAGTACTTTAGGGAGCATTTCGTGTGAATGCTTGTGTTATGCAATAATTACTATTCATTATTGTATTTAAACTACATTTCTTTTGTCTTAACATTTTTCCCAGGAAGTAGATTCCTCTTTGTCTCGGCCCAAAACTCTGTATCTTCCTCTGTAGAGCTAAGTAAATATCTAGTTTCTTATTTTAATTAATTGTTATGTATAAAAACTTTGCAACTTCTAGTCATTTCTAAACTTCACAGTTGCAGGACCTATATGCCTCTAATCATGTATTAATAAGGATATATATTATCTTGTGAATGTTTTAATTATTTATTTTAATGCATGTATGGACCCGTAGCCTATTTCATAAATAAGGTATATTATAAATAGGCCTGAACCATAAACTGATTTGAGATGTTGAAGTTGGGCTAGAAATATGGGCTTACTATTCCTAGAAATCTGATCGACGAGTATAGATTTTATGGGTTAGGCTTACTACGGACCTCGGGGGCCTTATGCTTACCTAGGCCCTAGTGCCGGTCCAGCCGGGGTTTTTAGTTAGCTTACTCGGACCTGCGGGGGCACTTATGCTTAAACACTAGCCCTTAGTTGCTGGTCCAAAGCGCCATGGTTTTTATCGTACGTCGTGTGACAAAAATGGCATGAAGCTTTAGGACCGGTACGCGTGCCTAATGGTAATTTCGGGTCGTTTCGACAAATAATTAGGATGAAGATCAGAAAAAGAAAGTGCTTGATTCCTAGAAATCTGATCGACGAGTATAGATTTTATGGGTTAGGCTTACTACGGACCTCGGGGGCCTTATGCTTACCTAGGCCCTAGTGCCGGTCCAGCCCATGGTTTCGAGTCGTGACAAAAATGGATGAAGCAGCCGGTACGGCCCATGATTTCGGGTCGTGACAAAAATGGATGAAGCAGAAAAGAAAGTCTTGGATATGCAAATCTTTGTGCCGCATTCATCATCAAATTAAGAACTTAGATTATGGTTTATACATAAATCGTAGTCATCTTCTATCTGCGACATATATGGCTGAAATTTGAGGGGTAATTAATTTTTTTTTTTTTAATTTTGTAGATCATGTTGATTTATTGATATAATCTAACCTTTGATCGGTAAAGTGCAGCTTTGATTTAACTTTATTTCTAGTTTCATTTTTGGACAATTTTTTTGATACGATTTGATGAATTAATTATATTTTATTGCTCAAAAAAAAATCCTCATCAATATTTTTTATCTTAATTTTTAATTACATGTGTCATTTTTTTTATAAGCAAGGGAAATTGTGAAATTGAATTTTATGATATCTAGTCTCCCCTGTTTTCTTTTTTTTTTTGTTTTTAAAAAAAAGATCCACTGTTTTTCTTAATAAGTCACTTCAGTCGGTAAATTATTGACAAAGCTATCAGTTTTTAACTTACAATAGACTTGGTCATCAGTTTGGATCAAATTAGAATAGATCTAAGAAATCTACTATCGAATTAGAAGGTATCTAAGAAATCCTTGCCCAAATTCAACCAAACAAACAGATTTAGGTTCTAGTTCAATTGATAAAGTTAGCAGGGACAGATCTAGGGCAAATATTTTAAGCGAGCCAAACAACAATTTTTTTTAAAGCTTTTACGGAGTTAAATATAATTTTTTTTCTATATTTTTAAGGATCAAAATGTTATTTTTTCTAGAAATAAATAAAAAATCTCGGGGTGGGCTGGGCTCCCATGGGCCTCCATTAATCTCTGCCCCTGAGTATTAGGATATTTATGGTCTAATTTTTACAAAAAAAGAAAGAAAAAAAAAATCTAGCAAATCCTTTGCCAAGATAAAAATTAGTCTGAAATTAACTATATTGAGACCAAACTACAATTTTATGACTACATTAAGATTCCGATTTTACTCCATACAGGCCTTAGACCCCTGATTTGATCAACTAGCCACCAGTTAGTGACAGATTTGAAACCACAGATGTTGCATAATAATATTTTTTTGAATTAAAAAATTTAATTTCCATTTCAAATATTTTGTTTTTACATATAATAATAGCTTTTGTTTTATATATATTTTGAATGATTTACAGGAGCTGCTGCCAATTTACAAATTTGTCCAGCAAATGGAAATGGGTCCAAATTTGAGGCCATTAACATCAAATTTCAAGCAGGAAGTGTGTTTGTGAAATGACCCGATATATTATTTTCAAAATCCTTTAAGTTAAAATTAAATCAAAATGCCAAATAATCTAAAGTCTAGCCAATGAGATATTATTCATCAATATTTTAATTTCATTGGTTAAGAAATAATTAAGGTTGAACTACAAGAAAATCGGACTTAAATCTTTTAGTAACCAATTGAAATTTCAACCGAATTGGACCACCCCGGGGTTGAACCAAATCATCTATTCGGACCGAACTAAGCCTTTTTACCCAATCACTGGAAGAGAGTATAATTTTTAAGGTTGAAACTACAAGAGAATCGGACTTAAAATCTTTGTTAGTAATGGAGACAATGTGAAATTTCAATCAAGGTGAAATGACCCGATATATTATTTTCAAAATCCTTTAAGTTAAAATTAAATCAAAATGCCAAATAATCTAAAGTCTAGCCAATGAGATATTATTCATCAATATTTTAATTTCATTGGTTAAGAAATAATTAAGGTTGAACTACAAGAAAATCGGACTTAAATCTTTTAGTAACCAATTGAAATTTCAACCGAATTGGACCACCCCGGGGTTGAACCAAATCATCTATTCGGACCGAACTAAGCCTTTTTACCCAATCACTGGAAGAGAGAGAAAAAAATCTCATCTCCTTCCCCTCTCTCGATGCCGACAGCTCTCCCTTCCCCTTTGCTCTTCGCTCTTCGCTCTTTGGCCATCGGCCACCTAATTTTGCGAGTAAATACTCTAAAGCCATGTACTCACTGCAAGGTGTTTCATTCAAGCCTTGGTTTGCGCGATTTGAGCCCAAATCGAGGGAAAACTCGACTTAAATGATTCGACACCGTCGCAGCATCAATTTTTCGGCCATTCACGTTGTTTTCGACGACTTGAGGCTTCAAGGTAGGTGTCGATCGATTCATCTCCTCTCCCTATTTCATTTGATTGTTTCGGTGTCAAGTATGTTAGAGATAATAGCAGTTCGAGTTTGAAATGAAAATCAACCACTTAAGTATATCTTCTTGTTGTAACTAATTTGTTTTGATTGGTTAGTTTTGTATTGATTGTTATAGGAGGTCAGTGTACATAGGAGTCTCTTGTATCTATTTGAGAAACTCTCATATCAGAAATAAAAAACTTTTTCAGTTTCTGATCAAACTCTATTAGAGTACGGTGTTCGGAATCGGAGAACCCAAAGCGGTGACCACTGAACATTCTAGGCCCATTTTTAGCCAAATGGTTAACACCCATGTTAAATTGATTACATATTAGTGATCCTCCTATCATAACGAACAAATTGATGTATGATTTGCAATTTTTGGTGCAGTTGGATTTTCCGACCACCGCGCATGGTGGCCAGTGGCGACAGTTTGGTGACCGGCCGGCGACGCTCCGATAAGGCTCCAAAGGTAGAATCTTCTTCTCTTCACTTTGATTTTTAGTATGTAATCCAATTTTGCATTGGTAAACCTTATAACCCAATTCTACATTTTTCCTTTAGAAATCAATTTGTATTTATTTCCTTATTTTACAATTATTTGACGAGATTATGTAAAAGTTGTGATCAGTTAGAAAATTATTTAATTTGGTTAATCCAAGTCAGAAATTTAAAAACCTAGATTGCTAAGGGGTAAGAATATTATTTTTTGTACTTTAAGTGGTAGTAAGAGACTAATGGGAAGCTAAGTATTTAAATAGAAAATTTTAATTAGATATATATATTATCATGGTACGAATTGAATTCGTGAAAAATATCTTTGCTTTGAGTTGGGATTAATTACTGGTGTGGATAAATTGATTCAAGTTGATTTAATGATGACATAATGGAGGATGGGCTGTGTGTTGATATGTGCCATGTATAAAATTTGGATAGTCTAGTTTACAGAGGAAATGCTATCGAATTTCGGCAGAACACTTATTAAAGAACTAAATCAGTTATATCCTTAGGAGGTGGTAACGACTAAAACTTTTAGTATTACTATTTCCATTATTATTATTATTATTATTATGTACACTAAATTTTTAGTAATTACTATTTCCATTTATTATGTATTCTTATAGATTAATTATTACTTATTATTACTTACGTAAATTAACTACAGCATTATTAAAGTTATAAACTAGCAGTAAATAAATAAATAAGGATAATGTGAGTATATATTATATATATATATATATATCATATATATATATATATATATATATATAGTTTAGTTTGATTGTTAGATAAAGTGGCTGTAACTAAAAGATTGGAAAAATAATGAACTGGCGAAATACATTTCTAGAATTAGACACTCTTATTTAAAGAATTTTCTTTTTTTTTTTTTTAGATGTTTTTTAAAGTTCCAAAATGTCAAGGTTATAAAAGCTAGAAATTTGACGTTGGCAGTAATCAAGATAAGCCTTTTTAATAGGACAATGAAGAAAATTGTATTTGAGCTTAGCATTTAGCACATAATTCGCATTACCCTTACCTGCATTTGCATCCATGCATACACAACTAACATCCACCTGCATTTGCATCCATGCATACACAACTAAATGCTAGACATGCATTACTTATTAAATTGTTATTTTATGTTGCATTATTTGTTGCTATTGGAAATGGCTTGGTTAGCTGTGATGTGCTTCATGTATGCTTTGTTTGTGTGAAATTCGGATGAAGTGGGTCACTGTTGGGTTTGTGAGGGCGATCTATGATACCATCGGCCATGGATGGGAAGATCGGCGCTTCCATGTGCATCTAATGAAATATGATATGGAAAACCACAGAGTGGCCTCCTGTTGGTATGGAAAAGAAAAGAGGGTATAAAAAAATGAGAGGGCTGATCAAGTGAGATTGAGACTGGTTAGCCATGTATGGGGATCGGGTCCCTGGTGCACACGTGATGAGAGGGCGGGCCATGTGTAAGGACAGCTCGTCGGGGTTTTGGTGACGCCACTAACCAATCTCCACTTGATGTGATTATATCAAGGTGTTAATATTTGTAATTGTTGTTTCTATGTCATTTGTGTGATTGACTACATGATCATATAGTTAGTCGGAAGACTAAATTGATTTACACATCCACTTGTGTGATTGTGTGAGGTGAGAGGGTTATCTAACCCTACTCATTGAGTTTGGTGCTCACCTCTGCCTCCTTATTATTTTCAGGTAATAGGAGGAAAGAAGAACCCTATGGGTCCAACCGAGTTGAAATATAAATATGGAAAATTATTAATAATTATTTTAAGCATGTAAATGTAAAGGACTGTAAATTATGGAGTTCCGCAATTGTATTCCAAATGGATTATAATTGAATAATATGGATATATGTATTAATTATATGAATTGTATTTTGATACGTCTATGGACTATCAGATTGGGCTTTGATTATGAGAATATAGTTATTGGCCTTGAGGCCACGACTATGAACAGAATATGGGTTTAACTAATATAGGCTTACTACGGGAAATATAGTTATTGGCCTTGAGGCCCAGACGACTGGGCTTTGATTATGAGAATATAGTTATTGGCCTTGAGGCCACGACTATGAACAGAATATGGGTTTAACTAATATAGGCTTACTACGAGCCTAGGAGGCCCTAGTGCCGGTTCGGCAGTTGGAAACGGGAAGTGACATTTTTGCGATAACAATTTTAATAAATTTTAACTTTTTAATGAGTGTTTAATTGATCTAAATTTTGTAAATTAAAGTGTTCATTAGAACAATTTTAAAAATTGAAGTGTTTAATATATGTAATTTTATAAGTTGAAGTGTTTGATGAGTCAAAGTAAAAGTTGATGGTGCCAGAAGGTTGAAGTTTCAAAGTTCAGAGGTGAATTTATGTATTCTATCCATTTTTTTTAGCTATAAAATATAATTAATTCATCAAATCATAAACAAATAGTTGTCCGAAATGAAACCAGAAATAAATGCTTCTTAAAAAAAAAAAGTTAAATCAAAGCTTAGATATATTTATATACAAAATAAAAAAAATAATTGATTACCTCTCGAATTTCGGGCATGCATGTGGTAGATAGAAGGTGACTACGGTTTAAGTACAAACCATAATCTTGCTCTTAATTTGATGATGAAGGCGGTCACAAAGATTTGTATGTCCAAAACTTTCTTCTTTGCTTCATCCATTTCATAACAAACAAAATCCATATTGCTCCATAAAATTTGAATTTATGGCAGAACATTTGCCATAAGTGAAATAAAATTATGTTAATTGAAGTCATACATATTTAAAGAAATAAATTAAAATATTATCGATACAACTTTTGAAATTGTTATTCTTTATTTTCATTTCTCAATAAAATAAAAAAACAAAGAAAATAAACATTTAATGCACAAAATCCAAAAATCCATCAACACCAATAAGAAATATTTGTAATCCAATTCATTATACATTTTTGTAAATATGGTTGGTTATTAAAATTTAATATTTTATGTTGATGCATTTATTTTGCCTCATGCGTTAGAAGGAAACAAAATGAAGAATTCTTTAAAGAACTTTTTGAAATTGTAATGCTTTATTTTCATTACCGAAAAAAATTAGAAATAAAAAAAGGTAATTGAAAAATTTATTCATGTACAAAATCTTGCAAATCTATCACTGATAAAAACATATTTGTAATCTAATTCTCATGTTTTTTAATAAGTATTTTATTACAGAAATTCACAATTCTAATGTTAATCAGTGTTCTGAGAAACGGGCCGATCAGTGAATTAGTGAAGGTAGGGATTCAGTGAATCGGAAAATTCGACCGGATTCAATGTGGTTTAACCGGATTTTTATATATAATATTTTTAATCAGTGATCGGAAAAATTCGAGCGGATTCAATGTGGCTAACCGGATTTTTATATATAAATCATTTTTAAATATTATTTATTAAATAAAATTGAAATATAGGCTTACAAAAAAAATTTTTGAGTCAAATAAAAAAAAGGTTTTCAAATTTGCTTTTACAAAAAAAGAATAAAAGAAATTAGTAATAATTTTAAATTAAAAGAAGTAAAATATGACTATTTAATGACTGAAAAAAATTAATTAATTATCAATGAAAATATATTATTATTTTCGCACATGCGGCTTTTAAAGGTTTAGGCAATTTAATTATTTAACTTAAACATATTAGGACTTTGACTTTACGAAATAATAGAGGCCCCAAAAACTAAAAATTACTGGTCCAAATTTTTAACGAGGCTTCCTCAAATTTAAAAAAAAATAATTAATTATCATAAAATATATTATTATTTCGCACATGCGGCTTTAAAGTTAGGCAATTTAATTATTTTAATTAACATATTAGGACTTTGACTTTACGAATAAAGAGGCCCAAAAACTAAAAATTAGCTGGTCCAATTTTTACGAGGCTCAAATTTAAAAAATGCCCATATTTTATGAAAAACCCAGAATTTAAATTGAATCAATTTTTAACCAATCCGGTTCACCAATTTTTAGCTGTTTTCATATGGTTTTTATTGGTTCAGGCCGATTTTTAGACTCTCGATTTTCCTATGCAACTCAAACTAGACCATAGTTGGATTTCTGGTTAAACCAATCCAACTGGCAAGTCCAGCCTGATTTTCAAAATAATGATGTTAATGCATGCACTGGTCCTAGTACCTTACAAGGAAATAAAGTGAGGAAATGTTCAAAATTTTCTAAATTATGATTTTTTTACTTTATTAGAGAATTATAATTTTAATGTTAATGCATGCATTAGTCCTTGTACCTTAGAAGGAAATAAAATGAGGAAATATTTACAAAATTTTCTAAAATTATGATTTTTACTTTCACTACAGAATTCACAATTTCTGTGTTAATGCATGTACTAATCCTTGTACCTCACGAGGAAATATTAACAAAAATTTTTAAAAATATGATTTTTAACTTTCATTTTCCACCAAAACTAAAAAAGAAAAATGTTTGAAATCTGAACTATGACATATATATCACCACTAATGAGAATATTTGTAATCTAGTTTATTATCCTTTTTCTATAATTTGGATTTATACAAGAACACTTACTAAGAAAAGTAATTAGTTATTGAAGAAATCTTAAAAAATATATATGTTTAATTAATTTAATAGAAATCCAACAATTTATTTCTTCCACAAAGATTAAAACTTTAACACATTCATATTTAGAAAAACATCAACAGCTTAGCATTTCATAAAAGATAAACAGATATGTGTGTTAAACAAGTGTAATAAAGCAAGATCTCAAATAAAAAGAAAATAAACACAAGAGATTTATAGTGGTTCAGCACTAACCCGTCTACATTCACTCCTCAAGAACACCTCTTGAGATTCTCCGCTATATTATCTCTTTTCAAGGGTAAAAGACAAACCAACATTACAAAGGAAATTTATCAATCACCTAGATCTAACATTTAAGCCATTATATTTTTTAAGGTTCTAGTTAACTTCTATCATTCTGTTTTGTAGAGCTCATAAGACTCAGATTCAAGATATTAAATCTCACAAGAGAAGGTTGTTTGATAACTCTTACAACTTAGCTTTATACTCAAAGCTACACATAAATGATTTTCATTTGAGAAACTCTAGCCTGCAACAAATTACAAAAAATCTATATAGACAAAGAGAAAATGCAAGATAAGCACAAGAAGAACATGATTAAAAATCAGAGAAGAAAATTAAGTGTAGAAACTGTTCTTCGAAAATAGTTGTTGAAAAATTCTTTTCTCATCTTAAAAACATTCAATAAGATCGAAGAAGAAAAAATATAGGGGCCTGAAGGGTGGAGCTTTGATAAATTTGAAAATTTGAAAACTTGGATCTCTTTCTCTTGGTTTGCAATTTTGTAGGACTAAGCCTTTTATAGTCAAAGGCATATTCTTCCTGTTAGAAAGTCCGACGTTAAAAAATCTGTTGAGAAGGAAATCTTGCTGACAGTGGTGGTTAAAAGAAGAAAGGCTTAAAAAGATATAAAAAAAGGTGTCAAATATCTATTTGTGATGATTTTAAGAAAACCAGTTTTGTGGAACACAATTTTGCTAAAATCGATTGGCTTTTTGTTAGAAAGTTACAATTCTATCATAACAGAACAACTTTTGTAGAAATCTTTTTGATTTGACTTTTCTTTCAAAATCTTTTTGCATATACCTCTTATCTTTTGAGTTCCATGAACATCAATCTCAAAAGTACTTTTCTCTCTAAAATTTTCAATCAAAAGTATTTAAAATCAATTTTTGAAAGAAAGATTTTTAAATGAATTTTTGTGCTTATAATCCATATAAATATCTCTATGCTACATGAGCCCTAATAACCCTTATATACTAACCTTCCTAACAAATAATATTTGATTAATTGTAATATTTGCCATTTGATTTACTTGAAAAATCAATAATTTATGGGTTTATACAATAGTAAATATTCTACAAATATTTAAAAATTAATACTGATATTAATATTTAAATATTAATTAAAATTTAAAAAATAAAATCTAATCATATATATATATAATTGAGGAGCATGATGGAAGAAGTTGAGCAGGTTTTCATATCATTCTATAAGAAAGCTCCTCAACTCTTCTTTTCATTTTTTCTTTGGTAGCGTCATCTGCTGTAGCCCACATCGCATTTTCTTTGTTGTGATAATCATTGTCAACATTTTCTGCACGAATGCTTTTCCTGTTCAATAAGCAATTTCTTCTTGCTTCTAAAAATTGTATATTTGATCATAATTTTATATTTTTTTAAGCTATTAATAAATGGCTTCATGAATGTAATCCCATACCTTTTCTATTTTTCAACTCATCAATTTTCTCCACAGCCTCCTTTAAATCAAACATTTTCTGTACATCTCATTCACAACAGCTTAATCTAATCTTTAATAACTTTATTATTTCAACTTCATTAAATACTGAGATGTTTATTTAATCATTCAAAAAACTTAGTGTTAGATTCAAGATAAACATCTCCATATTTAATCATTCTTATAATTGACTACCAACTTCTCTTATTAACTTCAAATAAATGCATTAAGTGACAAAGAACTAACAGTGTTATATTCTAAATTTTAACTCTAATCCAAGATAATAATTTCATTGCATAGACTTGCATGATATTTGGATATTAATTTTGATTTGCATATGCATAACAGTGAGCTTGAAGCTTGATAAATGTAAGAAAATATGTACAGTGGTAGGAAAAAATAAAGAACTTCATCCATGAACATGATCCTTGTCATAGATCCTAAATAAGAAAATTTCAAATACACACTAAATAAGCAGGATAACATGTAAGAAAATATGTACACAGTGAGCTTGAAGCTTGATAAATGTAAGAAAATATGTACAGTGGTAGGAAAAAATAAAGAACTTCATCC